ATTCGGTTTTACAGGCATAGACATTCATTTTTCGTGGTTTTCCCTTGTAACTCCATGTTCAAATTTTACTTATTTCCACTCCATTTTCTGCCCTATTATGTATAACGTTTTATATTTATTGTTGTTTCTTTCTTTTTTATTCCATGCATGTATGAGGAAAAAAGAATGTGGTTATATTGTTACAGGTTTTGAATCACCTTTTGGTGTCTTTTTTTTAGTATTGCTGGCTCCCTAAGGAATTAACGTCAGGTTGTTGTATTGTAACCACAAATCGAAATCTTTTTCCTTCTTTGGGATCTGAGCTGGAGTATCAAAAGGAGTAGGAAAAAGAGCAGGGGGTAATAAGTTGAGTATAGGCGCTTCTTGGTTCAAAGGTCTGAGCTGTCAGTCGTGCAAATCAACATCTTGGGTTGACGGAACCGATAGTCTAGCTCAAAGAACAGACGTCTTAGTTCAATGACCTGAATCTTCAAAGTGCAGAGGTTCCGATCAGGCATGGTATCGACAATATAATTGGCACTGAGCTTTAACAAACAACAGACCCCTAACTGATGCCATGACCGCTGACGACAAACTTTGCACTAATTTAATGAAGTTTCAGACGGAGCTTGAAAATAAAGCATCACAGCACATGTTTTCTCATTGTTTCTCGCAGAACGATGGATTTGATCGAATTGATACTCCTCAAAATCAATTCATACGGGATATAATTATTAGCCACGATATGTTATAACCATGTTTGCGAATTCAAACTCTCCACTTTTCAAAACGCTAAAATCAAATCCGATGCTGTATGAATCGCAGTGTGCTTTGCAATGAGATATTCTTCATACCCTGTATTTTTCTCAACAAGTTATCCGTTGCTGTAGAGAAAAGACGTACGTGCAAGATTAAAATCTACCTTTGACTAAACATAATACTTAAGTTCTGAGAGACTCACTTACGAAGATTCACTTTCATTTATTGATTTTGGTCTATACGAGAGCGGGTGGTTTGATTTGAACTATATTAATGCGCAAGAAATTATTCAGCTATCAACTAAATTAATTAATTCAGCTATCTTATTCTTAATTCAAAATAAAATCTTCTTGGCGGCATACTCAAGAATGTTTCTGCCTAAATCTATAATCACTTTTTTCTGTAATGAAATTAAAAAAATTATGCTAAGCGTTATTAAATATGGATGCTAGGACTTAGTGAGTTTTTGGACTACCGCTCTATTTTTGTGCCGTTGTATCTTGATTTATTTTGCAAGGAAAGCTCCATACTTTTAAAGGATGCCCGTCACTTTTAATATGTTGGAGTGCCTTCAATTTCGTATGACAATGCGCAACACGTCTATTGTGAAATAGTTGCTTGAGGTGTCGTGGCACACTGCTGCGCGGCGGAATTGCTGCCGCGCCGCGCCGCACCGGCGCAAAACGCGCATTGGCGCCTACAAACCTAAGGGGATACTTCAATCATTGCGCAATGCGTGAAGTATTCGCTTAGGTTTGTAGGCGCCAGTGCGCGTTTTGGGCCGGCAGCACGCCGCTCCGCTCTGTGTTAGGCTCAGCGTTTTTCAACTCATGATTTTGAAATGTTTGCATGCTCTGCAGATTTTATTCTCATTTAAATTGATGAGAAAAAATATATATTAAAGGAAAATAAAATGTGTGTTTTGTAAATATTAAGCTGGTTCCGTGTCAAACTTAATGATTTCCAACGGACTTTAATTTTTTCTTTTATATTGTGTGCTTTGACTGGGCTGCAGCGTGGTGCACGCGCAACCAAACGCTCCAAATTGGACGTATTTGACTATATAAGATCGATGTACACATGTTTTAAGACCAAAGATTGCGTGCTTCTTGTTTTTTCCCCTCTTTTATTCATTTTGGTACAGTTTATTTTAATACAACCACGGCTCATTGATAATAATATCGATGCCATCTCTTGGAAAAGGTTTCACAGATGTTTGCTACGTTTTAAAAATGAAAATGCTTTTAAAATTAAATCATATTTTCATTTGCGGAAGAAAAAAAATAGTGCATAAGGTATATTTTATATGGAATATTATAAGGATAGAAATGAAATCAAATATTCACCGATGACAATTTGAAAAGATTAACCAAAAGAAGAGAGTAGCATTTCATTTAAAAAATGAGTTACCATAACAACACTTCCTTCTGTCTCAATTTTCTCATTTCAATATTGTCAATATAATTGTACATACGGACTAAAATTTTACGCGTGGGCTTTAACAACTGGACAAAACGGGTGCGCGGACAAAAAATCGTTTACGGAATGTCCTGAAACCTATTCGTAATTACAGAAAGTTTGATGGTTTCTAAATGGTTTCTCAAACTGAAATTTTTATAGTCTTCTACCTTACGTATCCTGTATGGTTTTGGCAACTTTTTAATTCAAAATAAAATATATTATTGAAAACGATTATTTAAAAAAATAATACATCGAAGATACGAGGTTTTTCCGCCGTATTTAATTTGTTTAAAGACCAATGGTCATCGTTTTCGTTGCTGTTGCTTATTTTACGCGTGGACATAAACTACTGGACAAAGCAAGTGCGTGGACAAAAAATGTTGACGGAATGCCCTGAAACCACGCATTTAGCGGGAAATTTTGCGCCTTGAAGTGTTTTACTTATGCTACGTACCCTATGACTGTGTCGCGACCCAGCCCTCCTAAGCGCCTTACGCCTCATGAGGCATTTGTTACTCTTACACTGAAAAAAAAAAATTCTCGGCGTTTTTACCAAGGTCCGTTGGTACCTTTACCATCTCACATTTTTTACCAATTATTGGTAACTTTACCAAGATAGACTGTTAAGCTTACCTAAAAACTGGTATTTTTATTGTTTTTTTTTCAGGTAAGAATACCACTTTTACTGGTAATCAATTCCCGGTAACTTTGCTATTTTATCTCGGCAATTCTACCACAGTCGATAAAAAATATTGGCGTATTTACCAAGGTCCAGTAAAATTACCGAGAAAAATCAATAATTTTACCGAGATTTCTCGGTAAAATTACCAATTCCATAAATGGTAATTTTACCAAGAAAAAACTGGGATCAAATAGAACCCTGAATTCTTGGTAATTTTACCCTTTTCTTAGTAAATACACCGAGATTTTGTTTTCAGTGTATGATTTTATAAAATAGAGTAAAATTCTGATTTGTGGCCTATTCAAAAACTCACCATCTCGAACCCACTGTGGAGCTTGAAAGATGGCGTAGGAAATATTTCGCAACTCTCAAGGTTGGGGTCCCCGTTCGTTTAAGTGCTCGTCTACCCTGCATTCTTGTTCTTGGAGGACGTGAGTCAATAAAACACGCGTTTTCGCTGCTTTTTGCCGGGCCTCGATCGATCGACCTGCAAAGACACTTGGAAAATCTACTCCGGCGCACAGCGGATCGAGTTAATAGGAGAGGTCGGACATAAAATTTTTGACTAAAACTGCAAATTTCGATAGTTAAATCGTCACATTTTAAATTTTGAGAGGTGATTCTGAAAGAAAATTTTACGAGGAAACCAATGAAACCACTTTCAAAACCTCAAAGTTTTGTTTAATCGCAGTTATAAGCGTTTAAAGTTTCCAAATTTTGTCCGACCTCCCCTATTGACTCGATCCAATGTGCGGCGTCACATACTCAGCCTCTACCTCGCAAGGACCAAAGCGTTTTATTAAAATGCAGATCCGAGACGAACCTCGCTCATGCGTGAAGGAATCCATTTTTATTCTGATTGCCTGAATTCCTCTGCGTATTTTAGAGAAGGAATATCGATGGTTCATGTCGAAGATTACGAATCAGCGTTGTCCTGTTTCAAAGTTCCCGTCACATCTTCGATACATGGCCAATATTGTGTAACTAAGCATCAAAGGATCAACACTGAATTGCAGTCATTACTAAAGACATGGGTGAAAAAATTTAATTTGTAATACCGGTAGTGTATTTTTCAACTTTTGAGACAAATAATCTCCTTAGCGATTGTTATAGGGCAGGCGTAGAGAACAGAGTGCTTAGCAGAAAATGGAAATTCCTATATTCTTATTCGAAACGAGATTTTCCGGTCGGATTCATTAAAATAACTGCGTTGACTTTCCTTTAATACATATTTTTTCTCATCCATTTAAATGAGAGTAACATCTGCAGAGCATGCAAACATTTCAAAATCATGAGTAGAATAACGCTGAGCCTAACAACAGAGCGGAGCTCCGTGCTGCCGGCCCAAAACGCACACTGGCGCCTACAAACCTAAGGGGATACTTCATGCATTGCGCAATGATTGAAGTATCCCCTTAGGTTTGTAGGCGCCGATGCGCGTTTTGCGCAGGCGCGGCTCGGGAGCACTCCCGCCGCGCCGCAGTGTGCCACGACACCTCAAGCAACTATTTCACAATAGACGTGTTGCGCAGTATCATACGAAATTAAAAGCGCTCCAACATATTAAAAGTGAAGGGCATCCTTTAAAACTATGGAGCTTTTTTCGCAAAATAAATCAAGATACTACGGCACAAAAATGGAGCGGTAGTCCAAAAACTCACTAAGTCCTCTCCTTCTCTATTGCTAATGATTAATACCTTTCTTTTATTTATAGATTTAATATATTTAAGTGCTGTCTTATGTCAGCACTTAAATATTAATAACTATATTACTTTATGTATATATTATTCTACCTCTCCTTCTCTATTGCTAATGATTAATACCTTTATTTTATTTATAGATTTAATATATTTAAGTGCTGTTTTATGTCAGCACTTAAATATTAATAACTATATTACTTTATGTATATATTATTCTACCTCTCCTTCTCTATTGCAAATGATTAATACCTTTCTTTTATTTATAGATTTAATATATTTAAGTGCTGTTTTATGTCAGCACCATATTATACCTGATACATACCATATTATTACCTGATATATAGCATCCATATTTAATAACGCTAGCGAACAAAAGCTATTCAACATTCGGGATATAAAAATAAATGATCTGCACGTACCTTGTAGTTGCCCAAGTCTTTCACCTGGCACTTGAGGACGGCTTCTTTGCCTAAATGTACGGTGACATTGCCAATGGGCTGTGTGAAGTTTGGATTGCCCTCCGTCCCAGCCAAGTATAATGACGGCCCGAGGCTACCGTCTGAAACAAAATAAGTACACATTTTAAAACGACTCACCGACGATCAAAAACTTTAAATCCATTCTGAAAAAATAAAATAAAATATTAAATCGAAGACTTCGCATTAATGGTCCATCCACAGGGAAAATGACCTTAGTCCACGTGAGCACAAATTAAGTAGGACGATCTTGGTCGAGCTGGATTGAAAAAATTGATTTCGATATTCCTCTCCATTGTCTTCACTGGAAAAAAAACACATTGGATCTAGAGTCCGGACTCTTAAAAACATCGACAAGAAAAAATACTCTTGATTCAATTGGATTTTAGCTTCAATCAAGAACAAAGCCTCCGAATTTGAGGGGATTTCCTTTTGATTTAAGCAAAAATCTGATCGAATCAAGAGTATTTTTTCATGTCGATGTTTTCAAGAGTCTGGACTCAGGATCCAATGTGTTTTTTTCCAGTGTTAAAACAAGAGATTAGTTTTGAATTTTAATTCAGTTTCGGTGTTACTTTTGAGACGTTAGTGAGCGTGAAGTTGCATTGTAATCGACAAGTGCGTGCTAAAGGCATAGAATCGTTGGGTTTCAGATAATTTCTTTTCCAAACTGCGTTTTTTAAACTGCTGACTTCACAGACCGCGGTCATTTTTTCTGCTAGGTCACAAACGGAGAAAAAGAGATATCAACTGAGAAACTTTAAATTGATACCTCATTTTCATTTTGTTAATTTTACAGAGATAGTTAAGTAAAGTTTTAACGTATTGCATGATGTCTTTTCATTTCTCTCTATTTTTTTGGGGACGGGGGATGGGAAATGGTAGTATCGCAAGCTTGGCAAAATGGCAATGTTTCCTTTCTAGTCGAACGCTACCTCACTCGGCGGCAAAAATGCTAGTGTAGGTCGAGGCGCACTCCGAGTTCTGCTCGGCTAGTCCCGGTCAACCGTGCGCTTTTACAGTACATCACCTAAACGATCGTAATTATCAGATGCTGTAATTACGACGAAACACATACGAGCACTAATGATGCGGAGTTTTTGCTCTGAAGCCAGAATCTGACCTCACAAATACTACTGAGCATGTTTTCTACTCTTTGGTGCAAACAATTATGCGATGCATGCTTCGTTACAAGGGGAAAGATAGAAATGTTCTGCTGCGACACGCAGAAAAATAAAGTACGGTTCATGCTAAAAATCAATTAAGCGCTCAGCCGATAGGCAGCGCTTTTTGATTTCGACTTGGTACCAGTATACTAGTGCTAATGCGTTTAAATGGCGCACCAGCTCATCGATGTGTAGGTTTTTTTTTTTGGGGGGGGGTCCATTTTTAAAATAAATAAAGCTGTGAAAACTGTATTTTATGCTTTTAACGTAATGCGCAGGTAGTTTCGATCGTTTTACTATGTGAAAATTTCTTAGCGGTAGAGTAATTCTTATCGAAATTGATCGTTGAACTCAAATGAAGCCTAAAAAAAACGCGCCTGATGAGCTCAACGGTGAGCTCATTTTCGGGAAACAAAAATACGCGTTTACGGTTTCCGTGGTAACCTTTGTTTGCTATCAGCTGATGTTTTATTTCCATTTCCCAGCCAAGTCGACGGAGTTTATACGTCCTTTCTTCATTAAATACATTTACTAACACCTGAGCGCTTTTCTAATACGACAGTATTAGAACTTTCCCGCTTGTTTTTTTTTTCGTCGAAATTTTTACTTAGGTAGAAATGTATCCACGGTACGTTAAAATCTTCATTCTGCTCAAGTAAATTAAATTTGGACGGGAAATTACTGTTCGTTTATGCGTAAGATAGTTTCAATTCGCTAACTAATTGAAGAATTTAAATACCAAAAGAAAACAAATCATGACAGTTCTAAATAGATGGTTTGAATCGTGTCGTGCGAAAACCGCTGATGTCCATTTTTTCAGTCTTGAGTTTTTTTGGGTTGATAATACTTTTCAGAGTGACAAGGAGCCATGAGAGTGGTGTCAATACTCGATTTAGAGTATTTTTATCCCAAACAGAGTACTTGAACCACTTTCATGATTATATCAACCCCTGGAAAGTATTATCAACTTAAAAGAACTGAAGGTTGGAAAAATGGACATTAGCGGTTTTCGCACGACACAATTAACTTTAATTCACGAAAAGTTACAAAACTCAAACTAACTTGACATGAGCTCGTACAGAGCATTAGATCACGAATTAACGCACAGGTTAATGATTTCCCCAAAACTTGGTTCGATTTCACCAAATGCAGCTATAGACAATAAATTTCAGAGACTTATTCACTCTGGTATGTCTTCTCTATAGTGTAATGGTTGCTTTCAACAGTCAACGCTCCGCAATCTTTGCGAAAACTCGCCTGACAATGTGCTCACCCGAAAATTCACGAAGTATACATCAGATTTGGCGTATTTTGAGCTCAACAAGTTGGTCATCAATCATCATTAGCCGAAAAGTAGCGATGCCCTCCGAACTTCTGCCACGCCCAATTACACGTCTTAAGATTGTCATAGCAGGGCCTCCGAAATATATTGTCTCTGAATGCAGCCCATACTATGTCCTCCACAAAAAGGGGTCAGCCAAGAGGGGCTGGGAGAGAGGAAGTTTTCCCAAAGGAAAGGAGTGTTAGCATTTGGGGCGGAGGACATTAAATCTGATCATGAGGCGTAGACGCTTGATAAGTCGGAATAGAATTCGTGGATTGCGGGTAAATCACTCAGATTTATGCCCTTGGCGTCTTCTAATTGTTCTACGGAACCGTAGCATGATTCTAGGTAGCAGCGCTGCCATGAAACGGTGGAAATCTAACTTTGCGAGAGTCGCGTTTGGAGGGTTCTCGACTGCTCTGACGCGACGCCGCATTCAGCATTGTCTCAATTAGCCTCTAAATCATAGCCTGGTTACAAGCAGGCCGCTCTCCTGACACTTGTATCGCAGCATCAATGTACACACTCGCCTCACCTCACCCTGTATCTGTGCCACTAACACGCCCTCACCCTTCCGAAATTGGCCCGCGCGAATTCCCTACAACACCCTTGCCGGTTTTATCCGTAAAGCTTGCTTTTGCGAAACGCGGAAATAGAGAGAAACGCTAATGAAGCTTGAAAACGATTGACATCACACGCAAGAAAAAGCTGGCGAGATTGTTTGTTTAATTAAGTTAGCTTTTCTTGCGTCTCTTTATTCTTCGGCTGCTGGCAACTTGAAAACCAGACCACGGACGCAAGGGAAAAAACGTGTTCCGAACTACGCAAATAGCGCGCTGAAGGAATACACTTTTTTAAGCATTCATCGTGATTTTTGTGCGAATTTATTTTATGAAAGTCTTAATGGACTGCGTTTAGCAGAAAGGAACCAAACCACGTCAGCTATTGCAAAATTCAACTGGGCAATGGAGAATCTGCACACAAAAACTTTATTGCTTCATTTGAGAGTGGATAATGAGCTGAATTCGCAGTACTTTTAATAATTTTTTTCTGACAAGGGAAACTGGAGAAGAATAGATTTGAAAGTGAGAAGATGTGCCGCCTTATGACGTCATCTGGCGGCATTTTCAATTTAAACACAAGTATTTTGGCAGATTCGGTTATTTCGTCATATTTCCTAAAATAATTTTTCAATTAAGTAACCAAGGATATCCTCGTGCTCAGTTTTCTTAGCAGTTTCATTTCAAACATAAATTTACAAAATTTCAGACACCTGCAAATTCTCCATTTAGTTTTTTTAAAGAGAAACTTGAGGTGGATTCCAATGAAAATTTTAAGGAATTTGCCTCGTACTAGGTAGAGAATTCACTGAAATTTGCACAAAGATCTGCACGCACAACCGTTTTCTTCAGTAATATTAAACTGTCCGATTGAAGTTGGCAATAGCTGATGTGGCTTGGTTCCTTTCTGCCTAACCTGGTCCAAATGTACTTGGCTATTGGCTTTATCTCTTCCATGCAACACACCCGTTTAGGTCAATTTCAACTATTTTGTCCCACATATTTGAAAACAAAAGAAACTAATCCGGCGGCATTCTTCTTCTGGTTACCAGAGATGGAAATATCATGAAATTTACTCGCGAAAAATTTGATTAAATTTTTGAAAACTTTTAGGGATGCATTCAGAAGGCCAAGAAACGCCTAGACATAGTGATTCTCGATTTCGACATTTTTAACCCCAAGCCTAAAACATTCACGGGTTGCAAGTGTTTTCATTTGGTTTAGAGGTTAGGTTGGGGCTTTGCTTTCCAAACTCCCCTTTGAGCCCCCCTTTGTGTTTAGCACTTTAATAGGGTCGCATAATACTGTCGAATCAACAAGAAGACCATCTGTTCGCTTTTCAGACCTCCGAAGGTTTAATGAATAACTCCGATAAAAATTAACAGACCAATTTTGTGAAATTTATTCGAGTCTTTTGAAATTTCACTTTCCATCCCTGACCGTTACCTTAAAATAACCTACATAATTTACATTTTTACATTAATTTTGTACCCAATAAAATAAATTCTTTTGTTTCTGTTTCGTTTGGAGCACTGCAAAACATACGAAGGTAAACAAGCTCGCCCCCTTTTGTGCGATATCTCTTCCTCTGGAAATTCGAGGATGAGGATGGAGGCTCCGGCCTCCAGACGGTCGTGAAATTTATTCGAAGTCTTTGGAAATTTCACTTTCCATCTCTGGCCGTTACCGTGGAAAAACCCGAATACTCCAGTCCGAATAATCCAGTATTAATTTTGTACCCGAGCTCTCTTCCAATAAATTCTTTTGTTTCTGTTTCGTTTGGAACACTGCAAAACATACGAGGGTAAACATAAACAAGCTCGCCCCCTTTTTTTGCGAGCTCTCTTCCTCTGGAAATTCGAGGATGAGGACGGAGGCTCCGGTCTCCAGACGGTCATGAACTGCTTGTTCCGGGAGCGGGTAACCGAGATTCAGCGAGATAATTGAGATAAGGAAGACAGAGGATATGACGGGATGCGCGAGGAGAAAAGTTGAAAGTTGCGAGTGAAGTTTCCGCGATTTCGTGATTTAGC